TTTATTTTTTTATAATAATCAATCGAAAAAGTAAATTTTTTCCATTTCCTTTCCCCCCTCTTTTTTTTTAATTATTATTATTATTATTATTATTATTATTATTGATATTAACAAGAGAAAAAAAATTTAATTAATTAATTTAATTTTTCTGTTTAAAAAAAAAATATGTCAAAAAATTTTCTTATAAAATAGATCACGGTACCGTAAGGTAAACATAAGCAAAATTGGGTAATTAAAATTTCGTTTTTTTTGTTTTTTTCAAAAGGTACGTTTTCATTCGCGCGCGCTAAAAGAAATTAAAAATGAATTTTTATGATTGGTCGAATCGTCGAGTTCGTTAATTAATGTATAATATTTTTGTCACGTTAAATTTACCGTGAAAATAAAATAAAAAATTATCAATCAATTATTTATTTATTTTAAAAAAATTTTATTTTCCCGCCATTTTGTTTTTTTTTTTACGTTTTATAAAAAAGTCCGGCTTCGTGTACGAGAAAAATTTACGTACTCGGTTTCGAAAAAAAAAAAATTTTCTTTTTATGTTTTTTTAATGATTACGAAAAAGATGATGATGATAACGAGCGTTACGCGGTGAAAAAAAAACTACGAGAATGATAATAATAATAAACAATAAACAAAATTTTATTTTTTTTTAAATTGACTTATTTTCATTAAATTTTTTTTTCCTGCGAGTTTTTTTCTTTTTTTCACGAGTAACTTGGGATACGAGATTATTATTATTATTATCATTATATGTTTATCTTTCTCTATGACTTTATGAAAATGAAAAAAAAAAAATAAAAATTATATTTACACAGAGAGTTACTACAAAACGACGTCGTTTTTTTCAAAAAAAAAAAACTCATCGCATTAAAAACATATCAAAGTAATAATAATAATAATAATGATAATGATAATAATAATTATTATTATAATTTAAATAATATAAAATGTTTTTTTTTGTCGTTTTATTAAGAGAAAATTTTTAAATAAATAAATATTTAAGAAAAAAATTTTTTTTTTGTTGTTACCGACATTAGTTTAATTATAATTCGAATTCGTTTCTCTCTCTATCTCTCTCTCTTTCTCTCTCTTATTTTTCTCATTCGAATATTTTTTTTTTTTTATTGAAAAAATGAAAATTATTTAAACAGAATAAAATTTAAAAAAAAAAAAAAAACTAATTTTATTTTTAAATTTTTTTTTTGATTTAAAAAAAAAGGAAAAATTAACATTACAAACATTTTTTTTTTCATTTTCCCGTGTAAAAAGTTTTTTTTTTTTTTTTTTGAAAACTAGAAAATTAGGGATTTTAAATTAATAATTATACCACAGGATCGTAATAAGAATTTCATAAACTTTAAAAAACGTTTCAAAAACTTTTTTTTTTAATTTTTATTTTTTGACTTTTTGAAAATTTATCGTTAGAAAAAAAAACGAAAAAACAAATGTAATTGTTAAAATTTTATTTTTTTAATATATTCCATCATCATTATTATCATTATTATATTTTTCTTTAATATTGTAATTAAATTTTTTTTTTTTTAACAATAAGAAAAAAAATTTAATTGCAATTTTTTTTTTGAAGTGGAAATAATTCGTTTTTTTTCTTTTCCAAGGATGAAAAGTTTATAATTTAAATTTTTTTTTTTTTTTTAACCTTTTATTCAAAATTATTTGCATAAATTTGCAATCAATTGATTTTTCCTGGTTTTGATGAATTGTTCCTTCTCCTACCATCACCACCACCACCGCCCTATCACCCTCGCCATCCTCACCAATATTTATTTATTCCTTTTTTTTTCTCTCTCTCTCTCTCTTTTTTCATCCATTTTGTTTCTCTTTTCGTTTTTTTTTTTTTTTTTTTTATGATTTAACTACATTGAATTTTTTTCTTCCTTCCTTTTTATTTTTATTCTAATAACGACGTGAAAAAAAAAAAAATAATAATAATAATAAAAGTGAAATTCGATTTTCGGTACGACGAAATATGTTGATATATTTATTAAAAAAACCCCCCCCCTCTCTTCGTTTTATTCTTTAAATACATTAAACGAATTAATTTATTTACTCTATGATATTTTTTCCCGTATTAAACATAAACAATAAACATTCGACTACTTAACGATTTTATTCGACCAATAAGAATTTTCGATTAACAAAGCAATTAACGCGATTGGTTTCTTTAACGCATTATTAATTCCTTACTTTTTCTCATAAGATAAACATAAGCGAAACAGTTTTTTTAAAATTCAAAATTGTCGTTATAATGAAATCAAAAACAAAAAATTTCTTTTTTTTTTATTTTAAATTTTAAAAATTGATTTTTCGATCGGAAAACTCGCTTTAGTAAAAAAAAAAAATGACGTCATATTTAATGACGTTTATCTTTAAACTATTAAATATTATTATTTGTTTTTTACGTACATAAAATTTTATCGATGAGGGAAAAGAAAGAAAGAAAGAAAGTAAGGAAAAAAAACGGAAATTTTCCTTTTTTTCCTTTTCTTTGTTTGTTTGTTTGCCGTTGTTGTTATTATTATTATTTTT